AAAGTGCCTGAGTTGAGAATACAACCCAAGGCTCCTACCCCACTGCTTTAAGCATCTGGACACGGTCTCCTCTTGAAGAAGCAACTAGAAGCCTGGAATAAAAATGTCCTCATCGACTATCCCACCCTGCAGGTCAGACTATGTACTGGAGCTGGGGACAGCAAGGGATACGGTGATGTGCTGGGTTGCTCAAGTGAGAGAGACACTTGGAAGGAACAGCGAAGCGTGTCCATCTGGGCTCCAGACTTGCTCAGGTGGGCGCAGACTGTGCTCATTGCTGCTAATTCACCGGCTTCCCCTGAGGAACAAAACTACCACAAGTGGGTTGGTCTACAGGGAGATCCCAGCAACACTCCCTCCCACCTCTCCCCCCCCTCCGCCCAGGAGGCTGTCCTAGATTTTTCCCTTTCCCTCAGCTGTACTTATACCTCAGAAGCCGGGCAGCTTTGCAACAAGGAAGAGTCTGAAGACACAGAGCAAGACTTAGCTAACATGATAACCTGGCGTGTCCCCAGGCTATTCCGACCCTTGCTAAATGGACTTAACATAGGCAAAGCTCAGCCCTGCAAAGTAGCTGAGCACAACCAGGCACCTGCCCTGCTCCAGCCAGAGCGAAGCTTCAGCTCCACACACCGGCTTCATGACGTCCCAGGGGACCCCAAGTAAGTGGAAGGCAAAACTCCACCTCGCTGCTGACAAAACAGCCTTTCAGGAAGGGCTAGTCATGGGCTTCTAGCTCAGCCTGCTGAGATGCAGGGGTAGGGAAAAGACCCATGAGGAAATGATTAGTGAGGGAGTCTGCAGTGAACTGTGTGAACAGCTGCAGGACTGTGTGGTCTGTGTGGGATGTCTGGGCCAGATGTGTAGTTAGGGTATAGTTCCTGCTGTATGGACTCTTGCTACCTTCTTGGTGCTGTAAAGGGGAGAGCAGGGAGTTGGGTTTGAACGGGGAAGTGTCAGTATTGGGGGGGATGAGTCCAGCACATTCTGCTGGAAGCTCACGCCGTTGGGTTGGAGTGAGCGTGTGTTCACACAACAGCCCCAACAGGGACTGTGGTGCAGTGCACATGAGCTAGCTTCAAACGAGCAAGCTTGAGTCCCAGTCACTCAGGCCATGTGAGCATGGAGGTCAGCAGGTGCTGCAGGCTGCGTTGAGCTGTGCGCTGCCGCAGCTCCACTGCTGTTGGTTCGTGACCTAGTGAGCGTAATGGTACCCTGTGTACCAGACTTCATGCGACTGTCATCTCAGTCGGGGCATTGAGTTCCTTTCCTCATTTGCAGTGTGAGTTTAGTGCCTGCTTGGCAGCACTGGAGAATGAAAACCTCCTTTTATTCATAGACAATGCATGGCCAGCTTCCCTCTTCCTCTTCTGCCAACGTGCCTAACTCTGAGCTGGAAGGTGAGGGCAACTCACCCTTTGTGGTCCGGTTCTGGTTATTTATTTACATTGCAGTAGAGACCCCAGTGGAGATGAAGGCTCCATTGTGCTACCTTTTGTACAAACACAGCAACTCTCCCAAAAAAGCATATAGGTAAGACAAGCCATGCAATGAGTGGGAGGGGAAAGAGAGGCACAGAGGCCATGTCCAGATGTGTGCAGATGTTTGGTTCCCCAGGGACAGCTAACAAGGGTACATCTTGTGCTGCTGCTAGTTGTCCTCAGGGAATGCCCATACTACGCATGCTCTGGTGCGTGGCAGGTTACCTTGGGTGCGGTAAGGGAGGCTGGGGCTAGCGCACAGTTTCTGGTCCCAGCCGCCTTACCTGGGGTCCTTACCCCTTGTCGCTCCTGCAGCTGGAGTGTGGCTCCGGCCGGCCAGGCTCTGGTTTTGGGCTCCACATGTGCTGCCCCACTTTTTTTCTGTGCCCTTTTTTTTTGACCTGGGGATGTTACCAAGGTCACCCAGGAAGGCAGAGAGAAAACCTCATCTCCCGAGTCCCACTGAACTGGGTTGCCTCAGTTTATTTCTTGACCCCACAGTAGAGACCCCCAACCAAGTAGCTAATTCACACAAAGGTGGTGTCTTGTGTTGTGGAGACCTGATTCTTTTTGTAAAGTCTGGGGCCCATTTTCCAGTTCCCTTAATTTTACATTATCCCGCAGGCAGTTTAGATTTTGGCAGCTTGGGGAAAGACAAGAGCACATAGTGTGTCCTAAAAGTTTCAGATAGTGCTCTTCATTAAGCCTCTTTTTTGGAGTTGGTAGTAGGTTTTGAGAAACAGCAAACATCTCCTTGTGGTTTTATTCCTTTCCTTTAAGGATATGTCCTACCCGTAGCCTCACTCCACAGCCACATGAGGCAGTGCCACATGAGATCAAATTCTGGCCTTGCCCTTTACACCCAGCTCGTGAGGGAGAGAACACAGCAGAGGCTACCAGGCTTTGGGTGGAGGCCAGCAGCTCACGTCACGTTTGAGTGATGCTCCCCCTCTGAGGGCTGAGCAGGAGGTGGTGTTGAAACTTGTGACTCTTCTCTCTATGCAGGAACTAAGCCCTCAGGGCAAATAGACCTGTTCCATAATTAATAGCAGGAGCTGTTACACTACTGAAGTACAAATAGGAACAAATGTTAACTGTTTTTTCATTCAAATTTTTCATAGATGTTCTTACTATTCCCTTAAATTGCCTGTGCATCTTCAAGACTGCGCAGTCTTTCTATTAATGGTTCTCAGCATTTTCAGACTCAAGGCACCCCTTATTAGACTTAACGCACCCCTCGGAAAATAATAGCTTTTAGTTTTCACCAATTTTTCACTACAGAAATATAATGGAGCAATTCTTCAGTCCCAAAAAACTCATAGACCACAACAGGTCAGAATGGTTTTGACACTATGGATTCCTCTTTGAAATCTCTGGGTTTATGTAGTGAAGCATGTTTGCACACCTAACAGCTAACTTTGCATGGCAACCTCTGGCAGCCTTGAAAAGATCTCACGGCACCCCAGGGTGTCATGGTATCCCGGTTGAGAATCACAGCTTTACATCTTCTGAAGGGATCCTTCTTCCAGTTGGATGGAGTTTCTCTTTAACCAGCCAGGGGGCTACAGTTAAGCATGCTGTGTTGCACATTTATACTCAGGCTGGAGGCACTGTAGGACCAGAAGGCAGAAACTTCGGACAGGGATGCCTATTCCTGTCTCCAGTACTACACTACAAACCCTTTGCATTTCTAAGGCAGGGGAGCTCTTTGAGTGGAAGAACTTGAAGAACCCACCAGGACTGGGCGTTTTAGAGAGGCCCCCAGTTTCAGGCAGGGTTGTCTTTTAATAAGAAGCAAAAGCTGGGGGAAAGCCCAAGGCTCTCTGCCCAACTGTACAAGGTAAAAACCTTTTCCCTCTGTTCTATGCAGAATCCGGGCCCATCGCCAGATTCCAGCAATCATTTGGAGATTACAGGGAACAGCAAACATGTCCTTGACTTAACTGCTTAAAAATGTGTGTTAAAGCAGACGCAAGTGGACTGGGGAAGATTAGATGCTGTGAATCAAAACTGATTTCTCTCTATTAGAGAAGGACCTCAGAGATCAGACTCTACCTCACTGTAGTTTGCCCACTAAACCCAAACACTTTTTTTTTACAGAAGCAAAGAACAAATGAGCCTGGAGGAGGATTGGGGGATTTCACTGGGTCCGAGTCTTTGAATGGTTTTGAAAGTGTTGAGCCAAGTTCTGCAAGTCTTCCTTGCAATAGGTAGTAAAAACATTGCCGTGATCTAGGCACTTTCCAAACACAGTCCTTTTTCCAATAATCTTGCCATCTATGGTGAAGTGGGCAGGTCAAGAGAGAGGATAACAGCACATAATAAGTACATAATGCAGCTGCACCATGACTAGGGTGGCCATCATAGAGGACAGTCGGGTTGTCCTCTATTGGTACAAAACCAGACACCTTTATGTCCTCCATTTTTCTCTTGAAGAGAAAAATGGAGGACATAAAGGCATCAGGTTTCATATCAATAGAGGACAGAGTAGCAGAAAACTGGAATGCCCTCTATGATTGGCCACCCTCACTGTGACTGCAGGCAACACAGAAGAAACAAGAGTGTTAAATATGAGCGGGGAGGAACCTTGTCAATTTGCTCACGATGCTCATATCAGACAGCATGGACTGCACCAGAAAAGGTATGGGGTGACGGTGAGGCTGAAAAAAGGGGGAACAAGGCTGCGAATACTAGCTGAGCGGAGGGGGGCCACAGAGGTGGGGGACAAAGAGACTGAGGTAAGCAGCGATTTCTGTGTCAGCAAGGGGAGAAGAATCAAATGCAGAGAGCTACTGTGTGGCTGAGGTCTACTTCAAGTCTTTCCCTCTAGTTCTGATGGGAACTCTTTTATCTGAGAGTTAAGGAGTTTCCCTTAAGGAAAGGATAATGTGTTCAGGATAATTTGGAAGAAAAGCATGCTCCTTTGGGTAAAAGAAGGGGAATGTATAGAGCTTTCTAACAAGTGTGATATGGGTCAGGCTGTAGTCCACTAAGAGGCTTATGACATGCCCAGAAAAAAGAGCCCAGCCAACTAAACAGAAAACATAATAGATCCCTTTATCTGACCTTAGAGAAAGGAGTTGTACTGATAAGCCTGTTTAGTGGGGCTTGGAACAGTCACTATCAATTGTTTTTCTGTTTAATTGGCTTATTGCTTACAAAATTCTTTCCAGAAATACTTTTTAAGGCAACACTCTCTTGCATATGACCTTATAAAATGATAATAAAAAAATTAGAGGCGCATTCTCCCCTAGTTATCTATTTTACAAAGTCTGAGATTTCCTGCAAGGATCAATCATTTTGGATGCTCAAGTTTTGAGATACACAGCTTGAAGCATCTGGAAAAGACCTTCAGAAAGTGCTGCGTATCTGCTCTGTGAATCAGGCCCATTTAAAGTGTCTCAATCTGGGCGCTGAAAATCACTCCAGAAAATCCCAGTTATAGATTTTGTTTGGGGAGCAAAGGCTGTTTTACCAAACATAATACAGAGATTCTGCCAGGATTTGAAACAGAAGATTTGAATTTTCTTTTAGCTAACCGTTCCCAGCAGTGCTGGGATCCAAACACAGCAGCCCTGAGAGTGAAACTGATGAGAATAGAACGTGAAACTGACCAGTCTAGTTCTACTGTCCAGATTGTATGAGATGACTAAAATAGACAGCATAAATACAGTAGTTTTTAAAGAGCTGATGATCAGGATTTGGAAGTTTCTACTATTGCAGGTTATAGATGGAATCCATGTGACCAGATGTCAAGTAAAAAGACACCAGTCAATTTAGAGAGAGATTGTGGCAGTGGTACAATGTTGATTACTGCTACTTATCACAGAATATAGATCGGATAAAATACAATAATGATGACTGCCTCACAGGAGCAGGGGTAAATTCATCAGCCAGCTTGGCTGCCGTCTTCCTATAGAGGCATTTTCTCAGGTGTATTTTCTTACCTCCTTCTGCAACATTGATCTGGGTTCATGCATTTTAACTAGATGTGTATATATCTTGCATCTTCTATCTTTTATAATTGAGAATATGAGAGGGTAATGAGTAATGTTTAACCTTGGTGCTTTTTCTCTTCTCTATTTCAGCACTCTCTATTAAAAGCAAATCAATGGAAGTCTCTGTATGCCAGGAAGAATTGATTTTCAGATCAGGTTTTCCTGAGATTGAATAGATTGAAAAGCTCTGTGAGCTGTTGCTTCTGCTTTTTCAGAGATCCTACCTAATTAACTATTCCCACTCTACTTGCTTCAGCTTTCCAAGAAAATGTGTATCATAAATTAATCAAAATGTAGTATAATATCCTTCTGGGTGGCTGCACTGGAAACTTCAAAGGGCTTGGTATAATTTAGGGTGTTTGATTTTTGCCTGCTTGTACTTGGGGGGCATATTGTTCAGAGGTCAGTAGACAATGCTATACTTTCCCAATGCATGGGGCATCATCAGATGTTTCCTTGTGCCTTGGGCTTCTGGGAATGTGGCCTTCTGCTGACTTGTACTCACATTAACTAAGCATCTCACTGCTAGAAACCGTGTTGCTTCCATCAGCCTTGTATAAGAGGGAAGTCAGGGGACTGCAGACTTGGCCTGTTCCCACTGCTAAACAAACTCCATTCTCAAGGTTGCAAATTCTTTTTCCTGTGCCAGAACTGGAAAAAAGCAAGGCCCCCTGCACCACTCAAGAATGTATCTGAAGCTGTGAATGGGTGATATACCTTTCCAGAGTGACCGGAGAGCAACTTGGAAGCTAAACGTAGAACACATGGGGGCAGGCTGACCAAACTGCTTTGAGCCCCATGGGTCTTTGGGTGAGCTCCTCATTCAGAAACAGCATGTACAAGGGTGTCACTATAGGCAGACTCCCTTGTTTTAAAAGGCTCTGAGAACTGATTTACATGTAGCCTGGGACAACGATGTTTTCAATTTGGCTGTGCAGTGGTTGATGGGAAATTAATTGGTGGGTCTCTTATTGGAAAGATGTCCCTAGTACAAACATCACCGATGGCCTTATTTGACTCTTTTATCTTTTCTGGCAGAGAGAACAAGGACTGAATGGGATATGGGAGCTGTTTCTTCCCTCTTCTCCTTAGCAGTGTCCCTGTCCTTTAGGTTAGTGGTGAGTGATACAGATAGAAAACTGTTCTGTGGATAACTAGAGGATTTAGATCTCCAGGGGGGTCAAGCCAAACCATGGATTGCCTTCAACAACAATGATTTAACTTCCCATGAATTCTCTACCTCGCACCTGGACAATACATCGTGTCCTGCTTTTGGACCCCTGGTGTGTAAAGTTTCCGATGCTTTATTTGAGCAGCCTGTGAAAGTCAAAGCATTCAGCAGCTGGTACATTTCCCTTGTACCCATTACTGGTCCACCAGACTGGACTATAGTTCTCTTGGGGGCAGACATCCTGGATGCCCAGTACTTTCTGCTTCTGTTCTGGTCAGAATCCCAATGCAAACTGTTCTTTTTCTATTGGTTACGGCAGTATTTTGCTTCTAGCAGGACCCTGGAAATGCAGAGACCTTTCTGAATATCCGCACCAATGTGTTTGCTTGTTGGGTTCTGTTTCAGTTTGGGGTAAGCTGTTTTACGTGGGCTGCCTGCTGGATACTGTGGTGTTTTCTAGCACTGAAGGATAGGGCTGTGCGAGGCTTTGGACCGTGCTTTGGATCTGGAGAAGTTTCAGACACTTTGGTGTCTGAAGCAGCATGTCTGGATGGAAGCGCTGGCTTTGTTAGGCTTTCCGAAGTGGTTCGGAGCTTCTGAAGCGCTTTGGAAAAGCTTTGGAGCTACTTCAGAGATCTGGCCAGAGGGTATAATGGGGAATCAATGAAATATCGATATCTTTGTTGTTTTTTGTCTGATTTAGGTGAAATATGCAGGGATGGTAGCCTGTGCCAAAGGCATGAAGCCTGCCAAGTTTCAAGAAGGTTAGTGCAGGGGTTCAGGGGAAACTGCACCCCAAATTCCTAAAAGCAAAACTCATGTCACATCTATGTGTTACAATATAGCAGGATGAAAACTGCCAGGGAGGCGGCCCCTGCTGAGGCCATGAAGCCTGCCAAGTTTCAAGAAGATCGGTGCAGGGGTTTGGGGGGAACTGCACCTCAAGATGCGGACAAGCAAAACTTGTGACATAGGTGACACTGTGTGTGTGTTAAGGTGCTTCAGGGTGAAAGCTGCAGGGATGGTGGCCCCTGCTGCGGCCATGAAGCCTGCCAGCTGTTGAGGAGATCAGTGCAGGGTTTTGGGTTCTGGGGCCCTGCACCTCCAGCTGCTGACAGACAAAACTGTGCCTGCCTTGGGGTGGGGAGGGGAGACACTGCTTCAGGCCTGGCTGCTAAGCTACTGTGTTACCAGTTACCAAGCAATCATGATTCACTCAGGTACCAGCTCAATACACAGTTAGTTGCTAGCTAATGTAACTAGTTAATTGGCAATAATTAACACCTACAAAACCACAGAGTAAGGAGAGGAAGGAATGAATACAGACAATCAACTGCCCCAAGCCAGAGACAGTCAGTCCCACAAGCACCCATGTCACGAGTTTTGCCTGTCAGCAGCTAGGGGTGCAGGGCCCCAGAACCCCCCCTGCACTGATCTCCTCGACAGCTGGCAGGCTTTGTGGCCTCAGCAGGGGCCACCATCCCTGCACCTTTCACCCTGAAGCGCCTTAACACACACACAGGGTCACCCATGTCACGAGTTTTGCTTGTCCGCAGCTTGAGGTACAGTTTCTCCCAAACCCCTGCACTTATCTCCTTGAAACTTGGCAGACTTTGTGATCTCACCAGGAGCTACCATCCTTGCAGTTTTCACTGCCCTGTGTTGTAACACATAGATGTGACATGAGTTTTGCTTTCAAGAATGTGGGGTACATTTCCCCCCAAACCCCTGCACTGATCTTCTTGAAACTTGGCAGACTTCATGCTCTCAGCAGAAGCTACCGCTCCTACAAGTGTCATCCAAAGAAGACAAAAAACAGCAAAGTAATAGATATTTCATTTATTCCCGTTATACCCTATGGCTGTATCTCCAAGGCGGCTCTGAAGTTTCGTAGCCACTTCATCTGGATCAAAGCGGGACCCTGGTCTGGAGCTCCGGGTTGGATCCCTGGCATCTGAAGCAGCCGGATCGAATAGCTGCTTACCTGCAGAGGCCTACTGAATGAGCTGCACAGTCTGGAGACTCAAAGTCTGGCTTTCCTATTGCAGTTGGGATACATACCACAATGCACCAGCTATTGAATAGTGACTATGACCCTGGCATATTTTAGGAGCTCCAAAATTGATGAAGCTTTACCTGGGAAACACACATGTATATCACAGCACCTCTGAATACTTCGTGCCATGGAACAGCTTGAAGGTCACAAGCATATGTTCTGGAGTTGCCTGCGGTTACAGACACCCCTTTACTTCATGGTCTGATGCCCAGAGCTCTCTGCGGCATCCCACTGTCACTTGCAGAGTTCCTTATCTATACCAAGTTCTTCTCATTTCCCTATTGGGGCTCTCTGTAGGAATCTGAGTAGGTCAAATGTGTGCAAAGGAGCATGGGTAGTTTAACATCCAGGAGAGGTCCGTTTCCATCTTCAAAGCAACCACAGCAGAGGCAGCTCCCAACGAATCCACCCCAGGTTTTATACCGTGCCTGCTGGGTTTTATTGCTCTTGTTATAAGAAGTTATGGGCAACCTGTACAGCTGGTTTCTGATGGACATTCTTGCAAAAATGGGTCTCAAGTTCCACTCAGGTTTCCAGCCAGAATAGGCACATTCAGTAGTGTTGGCCATGCTTCCTCTTCACCTAGAGTTTCTTAGGGCTAACTCCAGCCTTAGTGAAATTGGGCGCAACTTCCCTTCAAAAGAGCGAGAGCTGCATCCCGTTTACGCTAAGACCGAATTTGGTTCCTGATGCCTTATACTTAGCCTCCCAGTGACTTAGGACATGACAGAAGGGTGGGTTCAGCATGCATTTCAGGTTGAATGAACAAAGAATGGAAATGGAGCATTAGCAAATAATCCCCCTGGGAAAACAAGAAAGGAAGCAAATGACAAAAGCCCTTGTTGTACAGTCTTAATCTGATCTCTAGCTGCTTTGCTGTGTAGTACCCACACCTTGGTAGAGACAGGATTAACCCACAGTGAGCCACCACCTCTCCAGTAACAGCTGTAGCCAGCCAGCTCCATGAGTTGAAATCAGTGATACTCTCCCTTTGCAGGTGTGCTGGCTGCAGGTACAGGATGCAGGTACCAGATCCTACTTTCCTCCTCCTGACTCTGAACTCGACCCACACTGCACATCTACAGCATGGCTCTTCAGGACTTTTTCTCTCTATGCAGGCTTCTCACATGATGACTGTTTTGGATGATGTCAACAGTTGCCTCAGATGTGGAGGTAGATCAACTTTATTTGAACTCCTGTAATTTCTTTTACAGCTCTGCAGAGAGAGTGACAGTGCATTTTATAAACCGGGATGGAGAGAAACTCACAGCCATAGCCAAAGAAGGAGAGAGCTTGCTGGATGTGGTGGTGAATCAAAACTTGGGCATTGATGGCTTTGGTAGGTGCAATGCAGCGATAACATCCACCCTTGGGGTCTTACACAAATGTAGAATAACCAGTAGGCAGCTGGGACTGTAAGGGCATCTTTACACGTGCTCCAGGGTGGGGAGAACCCAGCCACAGAGCAGGGTTCTGGGTGTAATGATGAAATAGGATTTCTCTTGCTCTTTTGGTTGTCATCTGTTTTAAAATGTATCCACCTGGGGGCTAGGAATGCATCTATATACCCGAAAAGCAACCAGCTTTTCTGCCCCACAAACCTTACAGAGCATGAACATGTTGAGTGGAGCATGGGTTTCATACGGTTTCATACTCTTGGTATATTTAGAAGGCCAGAATGGCAGTGTCTTTGCAAGCTCATCAGAGCTGGCACCCCAATAGCCAGTATTAATGGAACTGTTTCTTTATTTGAATGCATGACACATCCATAATTGAAGTAATGTATCAACTCTGAAACCTCTCAGGGGATCCTCTCAGATACGAGGCACTAGGTTGGCAGCAAGTGTTCATCAGGGTAACTTCTTGGCTTCCTCTAGAATCTCTCCTGACCCGCTAGACCTGGGTATACCTAGAACCTCTTCTTCCCACGGTTCCTTACAAACATCTGTCTCATTCTCTTGCCTGTCTTTGATGTACGGTGCTCTTTACCTGCAGGTGCATGTGAAGGGACGTTAGCTTGTTCCACTTGTCACCTCATCTTTGAGAGGGATGACTTCCAGAAGCTGGATGCCATCTCAGATGAGGAAATGGATATGCTGGACCTGGCCTATGGGCTCAGTGACACGTAAGCACTCCTGCCTGTTGGAGCCAGCACTCAGAAACCTACCTGATTTGTGCTCTGGAATGGGAAAGTTCTGTTTAGCTCATCTTAGTTCTGTCTTAGTTCTCTCTCTTTATAAAGATAGGATGCCTGCCATTTGGTGGATGTGATTTATTTACTTTGAGTGGGTATTTAGAGAGTTTTCTCTGTGAAAAGTGCAGTCTCTGCCCACCAGCAGCTGGCCTGCTGTATGAACTCTGGGGATATGTAGAAAGGAGTGGACATTACCAGTGGGTTCTGAGGATGTTATTCTTCACTACATGAAATTCAGTCTCTGATGTCTGCTTTTCAGATCTCGCCTTGGGTGTCAGGTGTGTGTTAAGAAGTCGATGGATGGTCTGACTGTCCAGGTCCCCATGGAGGTATCTGACCTCAGGAGGCAGATGGAAGTGGGAAAGCAAAGTAAACAGTAACCAGTGTTGGTGCCTGCACTAAGGTCTTTTATCTAGGCTTGGTGGTGGAGATGATGTTTGCTGCTTTTCTGTTTTTAAGTGTGTTATATTTCATTAACTCAGTGGAGCCTTGTAACTAACTTTTCATTCACGCATGCAGACCTTGATTCAGCATTGATCCCTGTTCAGCAAAGCTCTTACTTAAACACCGCTTAACATTAGGAATTTAAGCACATGCTTAGAGTTATATACTGAATACAGATGTAATCAAGCATGTGCTTAAATGTTTTGCTGAACTGGGGCTGCAGCAAACATCTACTCCGCAGATGATTCTCCTCCTTGAAAGTTAAGGATATGCCACTTACAGTCAAAGTTGGGAATTTTTCTGAGCTGACTATTTAACTGTAGAGAGCTTTCCCAACTTGAAGAGGTATGACTGTGTGCTGATTGTCTTGATGAAATAGTTTGTTAGTTTGATTAATAGCAATGTATCAATAACCTTTAAGATTCTGTTATTTTATAAAGAAGTTGAACAATTTTTCCATAAACATGCTGTTATGCACTAATGTTACAAATTTCTCCAAATATCAGTTGCTTTCCTGATTACTGTAGCACCATTTATCTTGAAATAAAAGTCTAAATATCAGGTTTCTAGCCCAATGACATTCATTTTTCGGGTATCAGAGTAGTAGTTGAGACCGCAATAGAATTATTTTGGGGGCATAAATATGCAGTTGTCTTATCTATTTAACTTGTGACCCTCATTGGATTCTCCCTTGATGTTTGAGTGCGATTTCTAAACTAGCTGTCTTAGCTAGCCACATAGTTCAGTCTGTAACCCATTTTTTCTCATGCAAAATCCTGCTGTGGGATTTTTACAGATATCTTTCTCAGCAAAATGGATTTTGTTGAAAATGCACAATGCCTTTAGCCAGCAGTCCCAACATAACCCCTCCCCTGTGCTAAGTTGTTTAGTAACACCATAACATATTCATCCTCATTAGCTGATAAAAGGACCTATTTTCTTCTGCAATGTGGTATTTGATTGTGGAAGTGACTTTTGCAGGGCTTCTCTGGGGTCAAGAATTTAGCATTACTAAAAGAGAAACTGGCTGGACATGTCAATGGAAAAAGTGTTGTGATGGGGGACAAAAATTCCTGCTTTGGGTTAGAGGCCTAATGATTATGATTAGAGATTAAGATGAGACGCAGTTGATGGGCAGGGCAGTGTGGGTCTCATCTGCCAACTGCATGGTTTCTTGCTCTTTCCTGCAAAGTGTGTTGTGCCCGATATCTGCAATAAAGCTGCTTCTCCCCAACTCTGCGCAGTTAATCAAGCTTCACACCTGCAACCTAATCCCACAGAGTTCGTTTCAGATGCTTACCCCAGCCAGACCAGTTTAAATGTCTCAATTTTTGGAAGGTGTATGTGAAACAGGCTGGGGAACTTGTGGCCCTAGATGAGAAATACAACAGAAGTAGCCTTTCTTACCCTGAACTGCAAGGTTTGGCCTTGAAACCAGAGGCATTTATGGGAGGTAACAGAACAAAAACATTTCAGATTCTCAAAGAAGATCTCTGACTGATCTTATTTTAAATGAGCTGATGTTCCAATCCATCCTGTCTATATTAAGATAATTTGGTCTCTCAGCTATTTTTCTCTCTCATATGCCTCGTTCTTGCCCTGCATTTATAAAGATTACACTGTTCGTAGAAATGTGCTATGCCAGCCGGGAGTGTGGAAGGGGGAAGGGTCTTCTATGCAGCAACTTTTTTACAGAGAAGATGGTGTCCACAGGGGGATTTTTTTGTGCACTTACGTTAACGGTAAAATAGCCTATTTAACTGAAATGTTTCATGTGATGATGATTTCTAGACTTTGAATCAAGTTAAACACCACTAAGGAGAATACTGCTAATAACAGTCCTTTAGGTTTTACTCAGTTTGCTTTTTGCACTTTGCTGCCCAGTGAGGGAGGGAAGTACTACTGTTTTACAGATGGGAAATGGATGCACACAGAGGGTATTTGAAGGTCAACTTTAGCTGGCTTCACTAGTGGCTGGTCCTTTTTGGTGCCTCAGTCTGAGCGGCTGATCTGAGAAACCCTAAAAGGGCCTCATTATTTAAAATAACAGGTTTTCAGCATTTTCTGAAAATTGGGACCGTTTATGGGCATCTTAAACACTGGGGTTACCCAAATGATCAGTAAATTTTCAAGGGCTTTGTGCCCTGAAGTTAGGCATCCTTTTTCAAACGGACTGACTCTTAGCTTTGTTGAGCCTTCCTTCCCTACTCCCTGCTTATTGCAGGTGAGCTTTTGCCCATGGAGAATAAATAAGAAGTTGTTGTGAGAGTTTAAGGAGGCTTAAGAACATCTGGGACTTCTGCCACTGTCAAATCAAAACTATGAGGCTGGGATAGTTAGCGCGGTCACCACAATTCAGCTGAGGCTATCTATCCGTTAGCAGTATCTGAAAGCAGTTCAACCCCTCCCTTGTAGCAGCCTTTAGAAATGCAGAAATGGAGTCCACTGAGAAGAAACCACAGATTGTTCCTTCCCTTTGCACTCACTCAGTCCCTTCTGTGTGTGCCTAGAGAAACCCACACTGCTCAACTGTGTCACCTTCATTAGGCCTTGAGGAGCCTGGGGAGTAAGTAGCAACAATAGGAGGATATGCTGGGGAGCAGAGCATTTATTTTATGAGAGAGCTGTAATGTGCCCACTGCTATAACTTCCATGCTGTTCTTAGCTTTGGAGGATTTATTTATTATTTTAGTACCACAAAACTAGTAATACTTGGTTTATGTAATGCAGCCTTTTACCTCATACCTTTTACCATAGCCAGGCAGGTAGAGTTGGTTTGTGCAAGTCCTAGAAGTGAGTGAGTTTTTCATCTCGCGCTGCATGGGTCACAGCAAGGGCAGAAGGATACGTGGGGGAGTGAACTTCTGCTTGTGGGATGCATCTTTTTGTTTTTGTCCTGCTTTTTTTGCCAGATATGAGTATGAAGTGAGTATGATCATCATTTCATAGATCCCTGGTGGCTAATATTTCAGAGCAGCAACCATTTTTTTGTATTCTTTATTTTGATGCATATTCCTATCAATTCCTTCCCTGCTAGGGGCCTACAATAATAACGTTCTTAACTATGATTCTTAGCACAGTGCCTTACAAATACCTGTAGTAAATTAGATTGGAGTTGTTAGTACACCTGGATTAATGAGCCAGCTGCAAATTACACTGGGGCAGTTTTGAAACAGGGATCCAGATGATCAAATGAAAATTGGCCTAAAACAAATGGTTTGCTCAAAGGTTGAGTTTCTGCTTCTGTGAGACCTCAATTTCTGTTTTTGTGTTGGCTTTGCTGCACTAAAGCTGAACTGGCAAGGTTTGCTGAAACCAGAACAAAAACACCAACTTGATCCACAGGGCAATTGGTCAGGGCCATTACACATTGGCTGGAATTGCTCGAGCAACACTGGGGAAAAGCAGGTCCATGCAGCTGAGACGATACAGTCCGAGTACAACAGTCTGAAGAATTGTCACTCCTGTAGCTTCCACTGGGCACACGAGGGAGCTCTTGACACAGCATTAGCTCCTCAAAAGTAGGCAAAGGAAGAGAATGCAACTCGAATTCCTGTTTCTTCTGCTTTTCCAGCCCCCTTTACCAAGCTTCTCCACTTACAGTCTTCTCTGCAATTTGCAAACAGGGTTCATAACACTCAAATCACCTGCCCAGGTCAGAAGATTTTTACAGGGCAGCAGTCTGTTTAGTTCAGCTAGGAGTAATGCTGAAGTGAGCCCCTCTGAATTTGGTGGAATATCACCATGGGGCTTTTAGGCAGTGTATAACGCGCGGTGGGTGCTTGCGGCCTTCCAAAGCCCACTTCAGACACTGCTGATTTATGTTGCTTGGCCCATAGGACAGCATGCAACCAGCAGTACAAAACTACAGCTAGGAGAGGCAGGGTATGGAGTTTAGAGCCATTGTGCTGCATTGGGCTTACCCACTTACTCTGCCTAACACATGGAGGTAAGATTCAGTTTTCCAGCCAGATAACTGGAAGTTCCCAGGCTTATTTGGAATCACAGGAGCGCAATGCAGCATCAAGGCTTCAAGTGACTTCGCTGAGCTAGCGGCTTGCTATTGCAGGTCTAGGAGCCGGTTTGAAGCAGCCCCTCACGGTGTCATACCATAGAACCTCCACCTGATTAAATTTCTCCTTCATTTTGGGCTCTGCTGCATACAGTCAGGGAGACCTGGGCCAGAACAAACCAATGGAGGTATTTTGTATATAGTGAGCCCCTTACACTGGTCATCGTTTGTATCTTTTGTCCCTACCCTCAGCTGTCCTTTGTGGCAGGAAGTGGTATGTGCGGAGTTCAACTCACAAACTACGTGCCAAAAGTTAAGATGGAATGGGTTATAACCAGAGCAAAGATGTTACAGCTCCAGGGAGTTAAGAGCTTCAATACTAGAGAAAGGCCTAACCAAACCTTGGGCGATTTCATGCAGGTGATTTCCAACCTAACGCCCCTCTCTCCCCTGTACTATGACTTTCCCTTGCTAGAAGCCTGGCTTATTGCTGCTCCACACTCAGCGCTCACCTACTTGTGACTTCAAAGCAAGGCTGCAAGGTGCTGCTGAAAGCTGTCGGCACCCCATCCCTGGATCCAGGCGTGAGGCAACATACCCAGAGGGAGACAAGCTGAGCACGTAGCTGCTGGCTGGAGGGCCTAAGTGGCTGTCACATTGCCCTTCAGAACATGGCTGCCTTTCCAGGAAAAGGCTCCTGGGGTGAGCAGTCTGGTTCTTTGATATGCAGGTAGTAAAAATAAATGGCATTCCCTCTTAGCCAGCGTACCCCTTGGCTGGTGCACAGTGCATCAGAGATTTCCCCTACCCCCATGGAAAGAGGCCTCCTAATGAGGATGAGAGCAAATCTTATACAGTGCTATCCTGGGAGAGTGGCTTCCCTGGGTTTTTTAAAGAAATCAGAGATGCAGTCAAAGATGCTGGGAGAAAAAGTGGTAGCTGACCCCTCGGTACTAGAGTAGTTCCAGTCGGTCTGGAGGACATGGGAGTAAAATATGGAAAGTATGAATGAGTTACACCTGAAGTACGAGTCACTGCCTGTCTGAGGCTACTGAGGTGGACTGGTATGTCCTGGATCCACTGTGGATCAAGTCACACTTCCTGCATGACTTCTACACAACTTGCCTTCCTGAGCATCTGCGTCTACAATGGCTCGCTGTGAGGCCTTTCGGCATGTGTCATGCCAGCTTTGAGTAATACTGAGTCCTCCTTTTGTGATTTCAGGGGCAGGGACTTGCTGTTGCATATGACTATTTTCTCTGGTGAAGGAACATTGGCCTTTCTAGTGGAGGGAGTCAGGCCTACCTACCTATACTTGGTTCCTCTATTTGTGAGAGGTCCGTAGTAGGCTGAGAAGCTCTGCAAAAGTTGTCAAGCTGCTACTCCTCAAAGTATTTCTCACTCTGTTTCTTTCCTGTCCTGACATTGTTGGGCTTGCCAAATCCTAGCATTACCAATGTTTTAAGCATTCTCCGGTCCTTTTGCACCAAAGAAAAACAAATAGCACAAAAAGGCCTTTATAATGTCATAGGCCAGGTGCGAACCACCAC